AGGAACACGGACTTGGTGCAGTGCAGTTTCCTTCTGACCCTCTAGTCCAGGTAGTCACACGTTTCTATCTTCAGCCCAGACCCCTGATCCCACCTCTCTCCAGGCGTCCGTCTTCTGTCCTTTCAGGCCACGGATTGTCTCTCCAGCTGTGATTAATTCGCTAATTCTGCATGGATGTTACTCGATTGAGTTGTTTCTTCTATCTGTTCTGTGAGAAGGTGCAGGATATGTCCGCCTATTCAGCCACCATTTTGTCTCCCCATGGACAAACTTTTTAGGAGCCCACAGCTGGGGAGGCTGGAGTCTGTGTTCATGGGTTCACAGCCAAGGCAGCTGGTCCCTGGCTGGTGTGGTTTTAGGGTCCCGGGTGGTGTCTGAGGTCTCCCCTGGTGGAGGTGAGGCTGGGCCCCCGTCACAGCCACTCTCCCTTTCAAGATGGCGTGGCCTCTGCAGCAGAACCAGCCACCCTGGGAGAGATTGCAGTAGTAGTAGAGGCCACCTGGGTAAGGGAGCCTGGTCCACTAGCCCCCAAAAGTTCTGCAGAATATAACTGTCCCTCACTCACATACACACATGCCCCACACATGCACGTACTCCCCTTTAGTTCCCTCACTCACACTCTCTTCCTCACTGCTGTCCTCTTGGCCACCATTTTGGATTCCCCTTCCTGACCCTTGAGGAAAACATAGCTAAAATATTATGGTTGGATGCCCGACTGGTGTTGCTCAGTGGTTTGAGTGTCAACCTATATACCAGGAGGTCACAGTTCGATTCCCATTCAGGGTACATACCCAAGTTGTGGGGGGCATGCAGAAGGCAGCCAATCAATGATTCTCTCTCAGCATTGATGTTTCTATCTCCTTCTCCCTTCCTTTCAAATCAATAAAAATATATTTTAAAATATTATGGTTGGAGAACTGAAAATTACTCGAAAGTGGCAATTCAAGGTTTGTCTTTTTCTTTTTTTTCTATTATGACAGTTACCGATTTTTATTGTCTCAGGCAGAACAGCAAAAAATAATACTCTGAGAATGTTATACAGTTTACATAGATGATGTAATACAGATTTGACAGGCTTATTATCTTTCGGACAGTGGATTTTTCTCTCTTCTTGGAATTTGGGAGTGGCCACATGCATACCCAGTTAATGGATTTTTAAAACCCTAGGAGGTAAATACTTTTTATGTCAACAATGGGCAGAGGATAAACCCATATACTAGAAAGGCGAGTCCATTGCTATGCTTCACAGAGTTCAGGAAGCAGGTGAACCAGGATAGATCTCAGGTCCACCTGACACCCACGAGCATGTCTGGGGAAAGGGTCATGTGAGTAGACACAGGGAGTGGAGTTAAATACTGCCCTGGCAGGCCGGTTAAGGCAGGTGGCAAGTCTAGATACTCCCTGCTCTCTTGCTGAGGCTTCAGAAATCCTAATCACAGGCAAGGGACAGAGGTAGGCTGGAGTTCAGCCAGAGAAGGGCTTTTCCCTCTGGGCCTTTGGAAACTCTGGGGAGACCAAAGAGACAGCACAAAGATCCCCGAAGTCCTCACCTGTAGGAGACCTCGCTCTACAGGACCCAGGCAAAGCCTCCCTGAACACAGTCCCACGACCCTGAAGTACTCAGGCCTAGGACAAGATATTTGGGCATTGTGTTTTGGCCTAGGATTACCAGCCTTCTACTCTGTTCTATCAGGCCATAGACATGTGTTTCCAGGTCAATTTCAAGCCATACAGGCTTTGGATGTGCTGAATTAAATGGCAAATGCTTTCTGCTCTCCCCATCACTGCCCCTGACACAAAAGCACAGTAGAGCCTGTGTCCACATTTAAGCATAAATCCCATGCTTGATATTCTGTCCTGGTTTTTCCCAAGTAGCTATTGGAGTGAAATGCTCAGCCTGGACTCCAAGGGAATTCAAAAGTTTCTAAGTTAATAACCCACTTCAGAGGAGGCTCCTTTGACCAGGGCTTATTCAAGAATTCACCTTGAGAATGGCCAGTGGGTAGGTCCTCCACTGCTAATTGCTAGGAGCTTGGAGCTACTATGGAATTTCCTAGCTTGATCCTTGCCTTCCTCCACTCTTTTTTCATATCCAAGCAGGACTGTATCCCCTTACCTAGGCTTGGGAACCCACTGAATCCTATATGTTTATCACCTATAGGAATTTCTCAAGTGCCCCCCCCCTACTCAATAAAAGTAAGATGCAGGCACTCCTAATCTGGTCTCTACACCTGTTCACCTTCCCAGCCATCTATTCATAGGAAAGGTAATCTAGCATAGGAGTCAAGCATGCATTTGATTCCTGGTTAGGTTACTTACTAGTTATGTGATCTTGGGTAGTAGTTAACCCACCCTCTCTGAGCCTCACTCTGCTCAACAAAAAGAATTATGTCGGTCCATCTTGGAAGGAAAATATAGAGGCAAAAGGTAAAGACTACACATACATGTATAACATTCACAGCAAAGTGCCTGCTACATAGAATTGTAAAGTGCTCTGTAACAAATTAGTACTATGGTGATTTGTATAGTGGTAGAGACTGGAAGGTGAGGGTGGATAAGATGTGGCCCCTGACCTCTGTGACATTACAGTCAGAGAGCTCTCACATGCATACTCCCTAATGACTACAAAGAGAAAGCTTCCCCTGATCAAGACCATAATACGGGCATCGTGGGGGTTCAGGGAGAAGGAAGAGAAAGAAGCAGGGAATTCACCATATGCCTTCACTTGGCACACTACATATGTTCTCTCATTCAGTCCTAATCATATCCCTTCAGAATGTCAGGATGTTGTAAATAGTGTGTCCATTTTACATCTCAAGACAGAAGGGAGAAGTCACTGCAGGCTGGCATGGGCAAGTGATCTTCACAGAAGAGGTAGGATTTGAGCCAAGCCTGGAAAGGTGAATAGGATTCAGATAGAATGAGGGTGAATAAGGGTGGCGGGGGAAGACAAGATTTCATGAGAATGAGGAGGAACATCTTGCTAACAAAGCCCTGAGTAGGCTTTGCAGTGGTAGTAGAGGCCAAGTGAGTGTTTGTAATTGAAGGATCCTATGTACTGGGTCAGTGAGATAACAAGATATTTTCCAGTTGCTCCCTAGCGACCTCCCATTACAACTCAGAGCAGCATTATTTTTGCAGCTTCACTAAGGCTCAAGAAGGAAGAGTCATCTTCCCTTATCTCTCTGACAGCACTAAGAAAACAGATGGAACCAAAGTAGCCAGGAGAGCATGTCCACACAGCCATTCTACTTAGCAGGCACTTAGCTGCGAACCTCACCGCTACCACTCCAATTGCTTGAGGGCATAAATCTCAGGACTGAGAATAAGTACTGCCACGGTTCCTTGGGCACTGTGTGTCATTATCGCACTGAATCCTCACAACAGTCTTGTAGGACCTCTTCTACGGAGGAGGAAACTGAGGTCCAGAGAGTTCAAGTGACTTACTGAAGGCACTGCACCTAGTAAGAGGCACGGCACACCTAGGGTTTGAATCCAAGTCTAATCCAACTCCAAAACCTATGCCCTCAATGCTTGCTATAGAGCCTAGTCCCACTAGATCACAGCAGTTATTGGACCCACACAGACATTCTCAACATCTTGTATCTCTTTTCCCCATTAATGCAGCCCAGTAACACTATTTGTCTCCAGAAAACGAAGGTAACAACTTCTAAGGCAGCAAATCATGAGAAACTTTGGTGCACTCTCATTTCCCACTACCCTTGGTGATCTTCAAACCCCCAAGCACCAAGAGATGTCATTATTCTATCCCCAGATCTTTTCCCTAGAATGGTGTCCACACTGATTTTGCCTGTTGTCCACTACAATTATTCAGAGGGCCCCTTTTACTCTCAAAAGTGTCTGCATTAATTGGACAAGAAATTATATGCTCATGCTACCTACAGAGAGGCAAAGAAGCCTCACACATCAGGTCCTTTTGTCATTCTAACACATGTAATAGGAAATAACCCGCAGCTCCGCTGAATGAGAGTGGGGTTTGACCTTCTGGGAGAAATAGCCAGCCTCTTCTTGAGGAGGGAGTAAGGAATAAATAAACTGGAAAGCTGACTGTGAGGGGATTCCGAGTACAATCAAGTGTTTTGGAGTTGGAATGGTCAGGAACAGGGGTAGAGAAATGCCTGGAAAGCAGAACCTGTAATTATTATCTAGAACAATTTTTGGTCTAAGGACAATTTTACATATCTAAAAATTAGTAAGAACCCAAAAAACTTTTATGAGGGCTATATCTGCCCGTCATTACTATAGAAAATATTAGAATGAAAAGTTTAATAAATTTATTTTAAAACACAATAAAAAACCATTACATCATGTTAACATAAACTCCAAATACATATAAAAATATTTCTTTTCTAAGAGTACATAGGAGATTAACATTGTTTCAGATATTTGAAAATCTTATATCTGGCCTAAGAGAAGACAAATAAATTCTTATACTAGTATAGGCCTTTGCATTTTATCTGCTGCCACAGATAAAATTGCATTACTTGGACAAGAAATTATATGCTCACCCTACCAAGGGAACCCTCATGATGCCTGCATTATGGTCTTGATCAGAGGAAGCCTTCTCTTGGTAGGGTGAGCATATAATTTCTTCTGGAAACTTCCACAATACACTTGTGAGAGAATGGCACTGCAAAAGGTAAATGTCACCATAAGAAAAATATCCCCCAAAGGGCTAACCTAGAAAAATAACGACCAGGAATGACCATTTAGGAAAACCATAAATGCAACAGGGTTACAGAAAATTCATGTTTTTTCCCCATGAAATAAATATATACAATATAAGTGTGAGGATAGAGTTGATAATATTTTGTCCACAGTAAAAATGCCCTAAATGTTGGCAGAATACCAGAAGACCAAATACTGGATTAGATCCCACTTTTTCAGTTACTGTACATTTCTTTTTGTAACAAGTAAGGTGGCTCTGAAAAGAGCCTTTGGGTTGCGATGTTCAGATGCTCAGGTGGTGCCAAGGCAGCTCATCTGTGTAGCTGGTACCGGAGGACAGCCCTGGTGCCCTGCGACAAGGCATGCCTGCCGAGTTGATGGGGCAGGAGCAGGCGCACGGCTGTCTGGATGTCTCTGGAGGTCAAGGTGGCGCGGTTGTTGGAGCGGACCAGGAGCTTGGCCTCCTCGCCGATGCGCTCAAAGACGTCCTTCACTAACGAATCCAGGACGCTCACGGCTCGCTGCGACAGGCTCAGGTCCGCATGAACCTTACGCAGAACCTTGGGGAAATAGGCAGCAAAACTGTCGTAGGTGGGGCGGCGGCGGCGGCGGCGGCGGCGGCCTCTAGGCTCCGAGGTGGCCGGCGGATCTTCAGTGAGCTCGCTAGTGCTCAGCAGTTCCTCAGAACTTTCAGAGGAAAGCTCGGCCATGGCGCCGACGACAACTTCTTCAGAACCCTCAGAGGAAAGCTCGACTATGGCGCCAACTTCTTCAGAAACCACAGAGGCAGGCTTGGCCATGGCGTCGATGACATCTTCTTCAGAAACCACAGAGGCAGGCTCGGCCATGGCGACGACGACACCTTCTTCAGAAACCACAGAGGCAGGCTCGGCCATGGCGTCGATGACATCTTCTTCAGAAACCTCAGAGGCAGGCTCGGCCATGGCGACGACGACACCTTCTTCAGAAACCTCAGAGGCAGGCTCGGCCATGGCGACGACGACACCTTCTTCAGAAACCACAGAGGCAGGCTCGGCCATGGCGACGACGACACCTTCTTCAGAAACCACAGAGGGAGGCTCGGCCACGACGACACCTTCTTCAGAAACCAGAACCCTCAGAGGAAAGCTCGACTATGACATCTTCTTCAGAAACCTCAGAGGCAGGCTCGGCCATGGCGACGACGACACCTTCTTCAGAAACCTCAGAGGCAGGCTCGGCCATGGCGACGACGACACCTTCTTCAGAAACCACAGAGGCAGGCTCGGCCATGGCGTCGATGACATCTTCTTCAGAAACCACAGAGGCAGGCTCGGCCATGGCGACGGCGACACCTTCTTCAGAAACCACAGAGGCAGGCTCGGCCATGGCGACGGCGACACCTTCTTCAGAAACCACAGAGGCAGGCTTGGCCATGGCGTCGACGACATCTTCTTCAGAAACCACAGAGGCAGGCTCGGCCATGGCGACGACGACACCTTCTTCAAAAACCACAGAGGCAGGCTCGGCCATGGCGCCAACTTCTTCAGAAACCTCAGAGGCAGGCTCGGCCATGGCGACGACATCTTCTTCAGAAACCACAGAGGCAGGCTCGGCCATGGCGACGACGACACCTTCTTCAAAAACCACAGAGGCAGGCTCGGCCATGGCGCCAACTTCTTCAGAAACCTCAGAGGCAGGCTCGGCCATGGCGACGACATCTTCTTCAAAACCCTCAAAGGAAAGCTCGATCATGGCGCCGATTTCCTGTGAACCCTCAGAGACAAGCTCGGCAATGGCGTCGACTTCAGAACCCTCAGAGGAAAGCTCGATCATGGCGCCGATTTCCTGTGAACCCTCAGAGACAAGCTCGGTCATGGCGCCGACTTCAGAACCCTCAGAGGAAAGCTCGATCATGGCGCCGACATCCTGTGAACCCTCAGAGACAAGCTCGGCAATGGCGTCGACTTCAGAACCCTCAGAGGAAAGCTCGATCATGGCGCCGATTTCCTGTGAACCCTCAGAGACAAGCTCGGCCATGGCGTCGACTTCTTCAGAAGCCTCAGAGGCAAGCTCGACCATGGCGCCGACATCCTGTGAACCCTCAGAGGCAGGCTCGACCAAGGTACCGACAAATTCCACAGAATCTTGAGAGGAAGGCTCGGCCATGGCGCCGACTTCCAGAGAACCCTCAATGGAAGGCTCTGCCAAGATACCGACAAATTCAACAGAATCTTCAGAGGACGAGTCGCCCATGTTGAAAGCAGCTTCCCCCAAGCCTGTGAAGAAGTACAATGGCGACTGCTGAGGGGGACGGTGCCCTTTTTATTGCCGCTGCATTCCCCAATCAAATAGTGATAGGCTCTGCCTACCAGCATTTCATCCAATCAGATATGGAGCATCAGGGGCAATCTCCATATCTGATTGGATGAAATGCTGGTAGGCGGAGCCCCTGATGCTCCATATCTGATTGGATGAAATGCTGGTAGGCGGAGCCCCTTGATGCTCCATATCTGATTGGATGAATGCTGGTAAGGGGAGCTCTCAATGAGGGCGGGAGGGGGTGCCCCAAAACCCTGGGTCCCAACCGCCAGCCCCGGGTCCCCCCTTGCGGAAGGCCCCGGAATGAGGGCGGAAGGGGGGTGCCAAACCCCGGGGTCCCACC